TTTTGTGATTCATATTCATAGATCACCTCTGTCACACATTAAATGATACATATATCAACAAAACATTACATATCCGTTGCTTCTCATAAGTTGCACACAACATGAACATCATAAGGTACTAAATTGTTCACATCATCAACCACATCAACAAATCATGTGAACTCACACACACACACACACAAAACAACAGAATGTATCTTGAACTTACCACCCACTGTAATGATATCTGAAACGAATTAGAGCATATGTAATTTGGATGGGAGTTTACAGATTATGCCAACTGATCTGATTGAATCGTATATTGATTCAAATTAGATATTCACTGGATAATATATATGAATTTGAATGTGTGAGTCACTCACTGGTTATCCATGTACTGTCCATACCGACAGAGCTCGTCTCAAGTGTCTTCTTTAACTGAGAATACCAAGTTTTTGACGAAAATGCTTTTTCCATTTCACTCGATAAGAATGCTAGTTCAACTTTGGCCGTTCCTGCAACTCGCTTTTGTGTAGTATCTATGTCACATGACAAATGGACTGAATTCAATTTCGGTTCCAAATTCCTCACCACTTTCTTCGCCTAATTGAGATCATGGGAAAACAGTATTCATAAAATCTTATTATTAAATTGGCTTTAGAAGTGGTTATAGAAAGTCTAGTTCATTAGAACTGAAATTAAAGATTTCATTCTTGATCGCAAAATGAATCATGGTGAGAACGATCATGGCTTGTGACAATGTCAAACAGATGATTACCCTAACATGACTAACAGTATGAAAGTTTTGTTATTATGTCTTCTCCATATTAGCAAATCAAAATCTACATGTTCCATTTGTGAAACGCAGTTGCGCAACCTCATACACGCAGTCTTCGGTAGTTACTACTGTCTACACCCAACAAGGTTGAACTTCAGTGGTCACGTCTTCCCACTACAACTCGGAGAAGATTCCTCATCAAGCTAGTCATGGTTTCAATGAAATATTGTCATTGGAATGTTATCATTATTATTATTATACACGTTACATGAAGTCATATAATTCTATAATGATAGTGTTTGTGAACTTACATTTTCACAGTAACTATCCAAAATAGTCAAATAATTATGTAGTCCATCGTTTTTAATTCCCTCATCCCATTCTTTTACAAAAACAAAGAGGGTCGTTTGAACGATATCTGGAAGAAGAAATCAGCAATGAGGAATATGAAATGCAGACATAACATAATTTGATGATGAGGTTCATTATGAAAACTATCATAGCAATTTTTTTAGGCGAGAAATAAACATAATTCAGGATAATCCGATAGCGTCACTCAGTAAATAACACTACTGATGATGCAGGTCATTGGGTAGTGGTGACAATCGCGACCACTCCAACAATAGTTTATCCTTTTTGATTTAGATAGAAATCGATTTCGTCTACCCTACAGGACACAAGTTGAACATGGCTGAGTTGTTTGGTTCAATATTCTATCACTCATCAAGTGTTCACATAAGTGAGTAGTTACACAAACGAAATATAAATGTATAGACCAGATTCAAACATACACATTCACTTCAATTATTTTCAAATACACATGAAGAGCAAGGTGATGAATGAGTGGGTGATACAGCATTACTTTGATTGTTCAGCATAATCATTAACTTACCTGAATTCATCAAGTCTGTAGACTGAGCTGTCACTTCGTGTTCTTTTAATAATGTAAGGAAAACAATGAATGCGAATTATTGAGACAAAATAATCACTTGTCTTAAGATAGATGGCATCAATTTACGGACCAATAAATAAATTAAAGCCATGTGATGACTGTCTAATCAATGAGTGCATTAGACGTGACTCACTGGTCAGTGAAGAGAGGATACCTCATTTCAACAGAAAGTCAACCGCTGATCGAGTAGATTTGTGTTGATGTCTCAGATTGTGCAGCTGCGTGACGTAGGGCTTGTAGTGGAACGCTGCTTCAATAAAATACTCAAACATGGGTTTATTTCGATATATATAACGAGATAATATGGAACATTTAGTGGTGATCATAGACGATCAGATATCTACCTGCTCACCACTAGAATTGGTGAGCAGACGTTTCTTCCATAGAAGTCAATTACGGTGAGTCTATTATTCATCTCTCACCATTTTTATAATGTTGCAATACTATTAAAAATGTCTTTAATATGTACTATACTTGCAACAACGTTTCGAAATGGTAGATAGCTATAATAATAGACTTCGAGATGCAGGTCATTGCATTTTTACCTGTCTCCTCCCCGTCACTTCATGTTGTTAGTTTATTTTACGTGCTCGATTTTTGCACTAACGCCAGGTACTTGGTGGCCACAGGTGCTCAAGTTTCTGTCGTATCGTTTGGTAGCAGTAAGTCATAAGCTACGATGCTTCGACCACGCGCTGCGAATGGCTCTGTCACGACAGCTAAAGATCAACCTGAATAATCGACGGCAGTATCTATGGACGTTCATCCCTCCTGATGTTCCCATAGCCATACTCGGTATCGATTCCTCACAGCACTATGAATTGCTATTCGATTCACGTAGGCTGCGTTAATCGATACTTCGTCGAATATCAAATCCATGGTTTTTAACGCGCAAACAGATATGCAGCGAATCATCAATATGTATATTTTTCGCATTACTATTTATCTCATGTTATATTTGGCTAATTTCCCAAAGTAACGAAACCGAGGAGATTCAACTGGTGATTAATTATGTTGTAAGCCACATCGTCACCTCCAGAACCCCAGTCACGGCCAAACCTCGCCGACTGGCACTGGACAACATAGTTTTCGCTAAGCGTGAGTTTGACAGTTTACTTGCTATATGTATTACTTCGTTTTTCTCACAGTCCTTAAGACTCCTTTCTCCACTCGGTTCGCAGATAGATGGCATTCGTTAGAGACGAAATGGCGGTTACGGAGCAGCAACGGCAGATATTCAATGTTCCGCCTCCGAACTAGTATACGGGACGAAATTGCATCTGCCTAGGGGAATTTCTTTACACCACGGAGCAGCGATCTTATGTATATCAGATAGCATCCGACGATTATCTACGTAGATGCGAATACTGTCTCCGGAGTGAACTTGAACTGGTACAGTTTAACGTAGAAGACTATCGGTGACAACACAAGCACCATTGGTCGCTACTTGTTCGTCAACCCTTCCGCATGACAAACAAATGTTGGCCGACCACATCCCCCACCGTACGCATCAGCTATGTATCGAAATTGTGAACCCTTTCAAGGCCGACGCTACTGTCGGACTACTAAATGTGTGTCTGTGTTCCAGGACCCGTCGTAGTGTGAAGATGTGGTCTATACAGCCACGTCCAGGTCTGAAACCAGACTGGTTTTCTCGAGTCTGCTCTTCACGAGCTCTAGTTAGACGTCTAAGTATAATAGAGGCTAACAATTTAGAAACTGCATTAGTTAGACTTATTCCCCTGTGATTGTCACAAGAGGAATTTCTTCCCTTCTTGTAGATCGGGACAATTAGCGACTGAGACCAGTCAGATGGGATTACGTCCAGTTCCCAGATTCTACCTAAGATCCCGGTCAGTCTAACTGTTAAAACTGGACCACCATGTTTAAACATCACAGGGGTAAGCATATCAGGACCTGCTGCTCTACCTCCCTTCACACTTCCTATAGCTTTCTCAACTTCATGCAGACTAGGAGGACTTCAATTGATTTGCCATTCAGGATGACTGTAGATAGTGGGCGACCGAAGTGAGGATGAAGACCAGTAGAACTGGTCCGTAAAGTGTTCTGCCCATCGGTCTAATCTCCTCGATTCAGAATAAACCATACAGCCATCCTTTTCTGAGACAGGATCACTCACATTCGAGTTCCTAATAAGTCGTAAAAGCTGTCTAGTGTCGCCCATCGCCGCTGCCTTTTCCATCGCTTTTGCTTTCGCCAACCACCACTGTTCGCGGTCTTTAAGTAGACCTCATCCTAGCCTTTACACTGCCAGCATGTATCACTGCAGTTTCCACAGCCTTCTTGATATCATTCCAACCTGTCTCAGAATGGGAATCACTTGCATGGTCGCCGAACTGTTTTTTTCTAGTTCCTTAGCTCCGCTCTTGAAAGCGCTTAGTGGGCACCCTTAACGCCGGAGACGGTAAGGGGTAAAATGTAAATGTAAATGTAGCGTAAAATGTCCAGAGTGAGTGAATATAAACAAATGGACCAGAAATATGACTCACCAGGTGTTACTACGTCATTGCCATTTCCATTTGGTTCACTTGTTAAAGGCGTGGTGATACGCCCTGGAATAAAATGATAGTGAGAGATTGGAAAAAAGAAACCAAACAATATTAAGCAGCTCAATGGAATACTTTCACAGACATATCTGACAGACGGTTAAGTAATAGCATATTGCTGATATTAGCAGATTGATATGAGTAATCAGTAAATGATGTTCACAATTAATCAATATGAGAATTAAGTTAGAAATAAGATGCACGAAATTATTCGAATTTACAGTATATATATTATGACAAAACAAATGATAACCTTAACGATAGATAAGAGATAGAGATTGAAAAATGAACCATAGACGAAAATTCAAAAAGAAAATGACAGAGTTTTTTACTCACCTGAAGATATATCTTCACCGTCAATTTTAGTTAGAGTTTCAACTGGTGCTGGGATTACAGACAGTATAGCCTGCTCTGCTTCTACATTACAGAAACAGATTGAAAAATGAACGAGAGAAGAAAAAATTCAACAGGACAATGAAACAGCTAATCAATCACGTCCATCAGACCATTCACTGATCACCTATGGTTCACCGTTACTCATATGTGAGTACATGTGTGCGCTTGTGGTTATTTGTGCGTACATGTGATTGCATGGATGCCAATTGTGGTGACTACTCTTAATGGCGATGTTTCGCATCCATATAGGAGAATGAAGCGCACCGATGTGCGGTACTCCCGTGTTTTGTTTAGCGAACGGATATCTCGCCTACGCAATAAGCGGCGTAATTTGGTAAAAGCGAATCCAGATTTCTGTATCCGCGCTGAGATTTCGTCAGTCACGAGGCTATCAGTGTCTTCACTCAATGGAACTATGTCAACAGGACGTCTACGACAAAGTCGAACAAGAATGGATAGAGTGGCCAACCCTCACTGACACCACTTGATGCAGAGAATTCAGATGACAGTTCGGCATAGGTTCTCACTCGACCAGTGATGTTCGGGTAGAGAGCTTGTATAAGAATAATGTACCTCCTTGGTACACATTTCAATGTCAGACACTGCCACAGAACCTCACGATCCACGGAGTCAAATGCCGCTTTTAGTTCCAGGATCACAAATATTTTTGGACGTCTAAATGTGTGTCTGTGTTCCAGGACCCGTCGTAGTGTGAAGATGTGGTCTATACAACCACGTCCAGGTCTGAAACCAGACTGGTTTCCTCGAGTCTGCTCTTCACGAGCTTTAGTTAGACGTCTGAGTATAATGGAGGCTAACAATTTAGAAAGTGCATTAGTTAGACTTATTCTTGTGGTGGTGTTTCGTTCTCTGAGCTGATTGTTTTGGTTGTGAAGCTTTCATTGTCCTT